AGAAACATATACAAGGAGGCTATATGACGTACTCTTTTGTATTGGCAGACATACACACACACACACACACGCGCACTTAGTCCCGATTATTTTTAATGACGGTAATTGCACATTTCGTAACGCTCGGTACCTTCGTTCCGAGGTATACCTACTTTGCTACTACCCTCTAAAATAAATCATCGTTACTTTATTTCACATATAAAGGAAAACGACAGAGATTTTTGCCAATTATCTCGTTGTTATTATTCGCAGCTCATAATATTATTATATTATTTACTCATAATAGCAATTGACTAAGCAATTGATTATACGATTTTATTTAGATAAAATATAGTATAAGAACATATAGATACATGTATAGATTATCGTATTAAATAATTATTTTTCTAATAAGTTTGATCAGTAGCAACATATCGAAATAATTACATTTGGTATAATTAAATTTAATTACATTCAATCAGACATGATATGTATGATCTTATCATTTTATTTTTTTAGTGCAAAGTCTGCTTATATTATATTTTTATCGTACACTCTTTATGTAATAATGAAAAATATCTAAACATCTTCTTTTTAATTTTCTTTACTTTTTGTTTAATGCTTCTTTAAATATTTATTATGTAATTTATTCACATCTTGCATAATAACACGCACGAATTATTTACCTGGCTTCTCAAGAAAGTTAAACTTATTTTGCATAACAAATCAGCGTGACGGTTAAAAATTGATGAATCACATTTGTACTACGTTTCTCATAAATATTTAAAACCAGTCACTATAGAGAAACAATAATCAAAGAAGTGTTACTACGCAAAAATTAAATGAACGTCAAAACTGCCTGCAAATGTTATACACGTATAAATGACGGAATCATTTAAAGTTACACAAAAATTCATCATTTATGCGACATTTTCAGGTCACCGTCAATTGAGGGATTAATTATTATACCCTTCAAGATATTTGCTTGACAAGTAGATGTACTGTGCCTCTTAGTCAAATAAATATCTTGATATCCACAATTTTTGTCCCAACATAATAACGACAAGTGAATATTAAATTGAAGCGTATATTATGCCAAAATATATGCAACTGAATTGTATTTTTTAATAAGTTTATTTTTAAGATATTATATTATTCAAGATATTATATTATTTATGTTCCACTATTTATATGAGCACTGTGAAAACTTAAAAAATAATAATTTCTAATTTCCTATAAAAAATTTAAGAAAGATCTAGTATTATTGTCGTGTATAATATAATTGTTTTTTTATAACGTAGTATAAATAATCGATAATTCGTATCACTTTGTCACACCATCGCTCTCGTTAAACTAAAATAATCTGACATAAATTTGCTGTCAATATAAATGACACAGGTGAGCTTTGACAAAGGGGTGTGTTCGTGATTGGTTCTCATGGGCGCGGCAGAACACTACCAACCATAGAGATTACCTATTCATTTTTTGCTTCTTTTAGACCTCAGGAACCTCGTTACTGAACTCCAGAGGTAAGAATTCTTTATCATGTCATGAATCCCGTACGAATCGCTCGTCGAAAAGCACGATTGAACTTAAAATCTGATGAAAGTCTTTGTTATGCAAAGCACAGCATACATATTGATTAAAAGAAGGTTTACTTCTTGTTTGCAGAATGTCTTGAAATTTTTTAATTAATTGTAAATTAATTGTTTGAAAAATCTAAATCAGTACTTTATTTGTTAATAATTATTAGTTAAAATGTCTTAAAACAACAATGAAAATTACATAAAGAATTGAATAAGAAAAAAAAATAAAATGCCTTGCTTCAAACTCTTTATATTTTTGCAGCGGTAATATTAAATAATAAATTGTTGATGTGTGTGTGTGTCGAAGTATTTATTAAATGATAAATGCTGCTATCCTGCGCATTGTTTTAATGTTTTCAATATTCATAAATATTTAAAATTTGTTTAGTTTTTATTTTAAGTTATATCTGAAAAAGTAAGGAAATCAATAGTTGTGTTGCTTTCGCGTAACTGTGTTCAATTTGCGAGACGCGCAATAGTGACAATCTCTCTCTCACGATAGGATCTAAAGTTTTGTGGGCTAGGCGGGAATACAGTCGACGTATCGAAGAGTAATCCAATTCTTTCTACCATCATTTTCCATCTTCTCGTCTCCCAACTAGTCAACCGCGACTCAGTGGGTTTGCCTCTAGAAATTCCGTCAACTAAACGAGTTCTTTCGCTCGTTGGAAACAAGAAAGCAGGGCTAATCCTGAGGGAATTGCATCCACAGGCACTCTCAGGAGCTAAACATAATTAAACAAATTAAAAGTTCGACTTCTACGTAGCCCAGAGTCCCGCAAGGGAGCAATATCGCCTTGTCACTGTATCTTTCGTTCACCCTTACTGAATGAAGCAAAATAAAGAGAACTGATAGCTTTACGATCCGCAAAGTGTATTTATTATGACTTCAGTTTATTCTGCAAATAGTTCTTTATTTAAGTTATTACCATTTCAAAAAGAATTGTTACGTAAGTAAAAAAGAAGAACATTGTGGATGCACAAAATAAAATTGATTATGTCATATTATACAAATTAAGAAGTAATCATTAAAAAATATGTTACAGCTCTAATAAATTATAAGTTTAGGTAACTAAAAACGTTTATATTTTTAATATTATTTAATCTATAATTTTAAAAATTTATTTTTTTATCTCTTAATTTATGAAACCTCTTACTAATCATTAGACTAATTGTTAATTTATTAAAACTATTTGATTCTTTTATATATATACAGGGTGTTTCCAAATTAAATCGCAAAACTTCGGGAGCGTGTAGAGGAGTAAAAAACTAAGAAAAAAAGTCCTATAGACATATGCTCGTTTTTGCTCCGTTTCAGAG